CGGTATTACCGGTGTTGTCACATGTCGATTAACCGGTGGGAAAATTTCCTCACCGTCACAACCCTAGTGTGTGTGAGTGTGAGCGTGTGTGTGTGTTTGTGTGTGAGAAAGTGTGTGTGAATGTGTGAGTGTGTGTGTGTGTATCTATCTCCACACACACACACACGCACTGGCCGCAGGTTAAGATGCTTACTGGCTTAAACAGTTACTCCACAGTTCTGTACATCCCTGAACTGATTATATTTCATTCATATGAAGGAGATCAATATCTGTCTGTCTGTCAAAATGCATTACGTTCCTATGAACAAGATGCGTTGCTTCTTTCCTTCCTTCCTCTCTATCTTTCGGCATTAGAGTCCGGCTCTTGTGTTTATAACTAAGGAAATGCTTAATGCTGAACTGAAATGCTTTTGCTGCATCATTAAAACCAGTCTCATCTGCCTCAAACGACGTGTTTCTGATTAATGGAGTAAAGCCTCGGGAAAACGGATGAGTGTGTTTAGAGACTCCCTGCGCTGCTGCGGTCTTCAGCGTTTCCTGGGTTCTATCAGTTCGGTTCAGATGACCTTATTCAATGGATCAGACGTGCTGATCTTTCGTTTAATAAATTGGTATTGGTAGAATTAGTAGTAATTTTCCTTTCTTCCACGTAGGTGTCCGACATTCAAACATCATCTGTGACAGCTGTAAGAAGCACGGCATCATGGGAATGCGCTGGAAGTGTAAGGTGTGTTTCGACTACGACCTGTGCACTCAGTGCTACATGAACAACAAGCACGACCTGACGCACGCCTTCGAGCGCTACGAGACGGCGCATTCGCACCCGTGAGTCTTCCTCTCTCCCTCCTTCTGTCTGTCTTTTCCTAAAACCTCCTCTCAGTTCCTCAGTTTGTCAAAACAAAAGTGTGTACAGTACAGTAATGCACTTACAGTGGAAGTCTGTTGGGCAACACCAGAAGAAACGCACGAGGCACTTTATAGCTGTTATTTCCACTCATAGATTCTCACTGATATGAGCAAGTATACCTGAAATAGACATGATGTAACTGTAAAAGTTCCTTTTAATACAGTAACAAAACATTCATCCACATAAAAAATGAGTCACTTAAAAGAAAGATTCCCCTGACAGTTCAAATAATAAAAAAACCTCATGTAGGTTCTTACAAAAATAAGAGCTTTACTTCTGCTTTTAAACCCTCCAGGACATTTTCCTCATATATTTTAATTTGAACTATTTCTGTAAACACATTTTTTGCTTGATTTTACAAACAAATACTTGATGTTTTATGCAGTGTTGTTTCTCGAGTAAATTTATTTTGTTTCCAGGATATTTGTATTGGAAATCAGGAAATATATAGACTAGTTAAAGGGGTCCTATTATGCTCTTTTACAAAGTCTTGATTTTGTTTTGGGGGTGTACTAGAACAGGCTCTCATACTAGGTTGTTCGAAAAACACATTATTTTTCACATATTTTACATTATTACAACACCTCTCTCCCCAGTCTGGCATGAATGGCTCAAATAGTTCCTGTATCAAATGAAGAAATTATATAAAGCCGATATAATTTTATTTATTTTAATTTATATTTAAAGAAATTTGAAATCAATTGAAAATGGATTAAAAATAATTGTTTAAAATAAACATACTCATACATTGAAGACAAAGCATTTTTCACAAATAAATAAATATTGAATAAAAATCTAATTAAAAAGGAAGTAAACACTAACCAACAGGGCACTCAGTATTCTGGGAAGTTTGTGTACTTTGGGAATCATATATTTTTTTTTCCAAATAAAGCCAAGGTAACACTCATTTTACATACAGCACACAGTGAAAATGACATGACTATGACAGTGGGCAAATGCATAAAGCGCAGCATAATTTGAAATCACTAGTTTAAAGTTTGTCGATCGCGTGTCTCCAGTGAAGCAGAACTCTCCTCCTGTCCGTATTCATATCACACAGACCGACCGTCACACAGAGAACACGCGATCATTCAGGATACACATACACACTTCACAAGATCTCACAGCTGGATCCGACTAAGTCTGCAAGGTTTGTGAAATTAAATGTTCATTATTCATTCAAAGATTT